GTAAATTGTCCATACCTCCATTTTCTTTCAAAGCTCAAACAAAGGACTGTGCTTGCCCTTTTCATATTATGTCCACACAAATCAAAGTCTAGTAAAGGACAAGTCAAGTAATCTGAGCAAACAGCCTACACTAACTATACAATTGGATTATTGCATGTCATGCTTCCCATTAGTCACAGACAGAAACTAGAAACTTCTGACATAGTTGACAAAGAAGTTGAGAGCAGAGCCGTTGCATCATGGATATACTCAGTAAGCCTATTAATCTAGGACTACATCATGCAGATCTGACAGAGCACGGAATTTCTTCCTCCCCTCTTGCTTTACAGACAATGTCTCTCTTCGTTTTCACTTCTGAGCTCTGCTGAGCCTTCACATTAGGATGGCACAATGACGGCAACTGACTCCACATCTGTCCAGATGTAGTCTCAGGCCTTCCTCAGGCCAGCCCTCTTTCTATATGTGTGCCAACTGAATTCTGTATTCTGGAGTGGGGCTGACAGGAGAAGACAAGAGACTTCATCTCCCTCCTATTACACTGAACATTGTTGGCTGATGTAAACTGGCAATGGCTCCATTAAAGTTGGGACAGCTACATCAGCTTTATTGCACTTGATGGTCTGCCCTTCATCCGTGTAACTCAATTTATGGCCACACAGAGACTTTTTTCCCAGCTGCACTGCTGAACAAATGACCTTGTCACTGACAGGAGAGTCATGACCTTTATGATACAGTCATAGTTCTAAAGGAGGGGAAACACACACAGGTGAAAGATGGCCAACCCACTGTGATTGCAATTACCTGGTGTCAGTAATGAAGGTGTAAAGAAGGTATAAAGGCTGTTTCACAAACCCCTGGTGGAGCTGCCAGTGACACAAACACGTTGCCCATCTGCAATTATGCCATCCTGCCTGCACTACAGAAAACTCAGTTTTGCAAAAGAAGATAAATACTAAAATGCTTTGCAATTTTGAGGAAGTGATTGAAAGTACATAAGATATGCTGATGTTTTATATTTGGAAATAAACAGTTTTCTACTGTTTACACTGATAAATTGATATACATTTATATAATAACTGAATATAAGTGGGTAGAAGAAGTATCTATCACTAAAAACACAGAATACAGACCTATATAATCCATGTGTAAGATGATGGGAAGGGAATGGAGCATGTGGCAGAGAGACCATAGCATTACTGCCATGTTTAAGAGAACACAGCTGAACACACTGAACCACAGTACCATGGGATCTGAACACAGCCATTGCTGTCCACAGTTAGAAAAATGCCCTGCTTTAATCAATCGGGTATTGGAAGACATAAATGTTGCTACTGAGCAATTTGCATGTGAACCTGCAAAATTTCCTGAATCTGTGAACGTCAGCAAATGCTCCATGGTGTCTGCTGTGAGGCGATTCAGCATGCTCTGAATGAATAAACTGAAGCAGTTTCAAAAGACAGTTGCTCAATGTTTCTATAATTTGTCCATCTGCAGATTTTGCAGTGCTTCTACAACAGCGATACAACAGTAGCAAGAAAACCCATGGAGGTAAACCAAAAGGAATGAGAGTTATGAGCTAATTCAATACCTCAAACAAGCTATCTGTCATTTATAATGGAGCACAGTTGGCTAGAAGAGAAATGGTAGGACACAAAGTCTAAAACTGTAACCACAAAGTGATGTTCTGGAGGAACGAAAAATAAGGCAGCAAAACAAAAAGAAAATTACTGAAAAGCATTTGCATTTAAGCCCAGAATGTTTGAGAGCAGAATCATCCATTGTAAATTTTAATTAAAGTTGCTTCTTATATATAAAAGTTTCTCTACAAAGAAAAGTAAAATGGAAGTAAACTAGAACTTGCCCTTCAACTCACAGGATAAGACCAGTACAGCTCTCTGATTAACTCATTTGTTATGATTGTTCAGTTTATCCTAACCTACTCTAGCAGGGATTTAAACTAAGCTAGAAAGTCACACTAATTTTGGAATTAAAATAGCCCCACTGGGACTCAATTTGGTATGCCAATTTAACTATCCCAGTTAAATGGTCAAACTTGTTTAAACGAAGCAGCAAGCCCTACACAAATAGAATTGCCCTGTGACCTGTTAATGCCAGAAACAAAATTGTTGTCTGTTGTTGCCAATGGCGAGTACAGTACTGGTCTGACAGGCATGTTTTCTGCACCACACCAATAGCCAGCTTTATAATCTGATGGTATATTAGAATTAAAGCCGTCATTTTTAATCTCTTCTTGTGCCATACACTATTTGGTAACTGCACATTATGAAAGGATGCACATCTGTCTCAGTTAATGCAAGTTGGGGACTTCTTGATGTCATTGTTGATTAAATATTATTACTTCAGGACTAACACCATGCTTGGCACTACAGAAAGCAAAAATTAAGACACTTTCTGCAGTGAAGAATGCAGACTGTAACAGACACAAAATGCCGGAGAGAGAGGGCAAACGATAAGAAGGACCAAATATTTTGTAAGAGCACAGCTTCTAGGCCAGTCCCTATCTTGTTGTATGCTTTTCCATCTGCATGGAGATGGTGTCTGCACACTTCAAAACAAAACAAGCTTTCTGTTATGGATGTATCCAAACATGATATTTAGACTACTAACTCTGGATGCAAAGACAATAACACAGTACCTAATTATGCTTTGTACTTACACTACTTTTCCAAATGCTGCTGTCAACAAGAAAACAGTAAAACTAAATATTACACTCTTCAACAGAGAGAGAAATGGAGGCAAGAGCAGTCATAGACAAAGGTCAAGAAAGAAGCCTTGAGTTGAACTTGACAGTTTTTCTGAACCTAAGTCCATTTTTTGTGAGCGCCCATGGTTCACTGCAAAGATAAAAAAGGCCAAGTTTTGCTTTTATAAAGAATTTAGAATGCAAGAAAGTGTCAAATGAAGCTGTCACACCTCTAATCCACTACTGGCTCTGTAGGAAAGGTGACATAATAAATAGGAGGTGGGGAAAAAAAGCAGCAATAAATTTGTCTTCAGAAACCAGAGTTCTGAATAATGTTTTTTATATGCCTGTTGTAATCTAAAAAGCACTTTTAAGGACAGGTGCCTGGTACCTGGGAAAGCATAAAACCAGATCTTTTCTGAACATGGCCAAAGAAATCTACTTTCAAATGGAAACACCCCAATTCTGCATTATCAATTATCAATTATATAATATCACATGTGGTCTGATATTGTCCCTATAATTTCAATAGTTAAATGTCAATGGAGGTCTCAGAGCTAGAACCAAGGAAAGGGAAACATGACACCAAGTGTGTCAATTTGCCCTGCCAGTCCTATAGACACAGACAGACAACTGTGACCATTGGGAAACAGGGGCAGAAAAATGCCCCCAAATGGGAGGGCAGCTGGAACAGAGTTTTTTATTCTTTTTTGGTGATTTCACAATTCTACTTCCAATTGTGGTGCATCAACCCCGGCCAGCAGCTAAGCACCCATCCAGCTGCTCGTGCACCCCTCATTCCTCCATGAGCATGATGGGGCAGAGAACAGGAAGAAAAAAGAAAAAAATCCTGTAGGTTGAAAGACAGTTTAATATGTGGAGGAAAGACAAAAAATCCAAACAACCAAACAAAAATGAAACCAAGTGATGCAAAGGCAGTAACTCATCACCTCTCACAAACAGGACGATGCTCAGCTATTCTCTGAGCAACCAACACCTTGGAAGTAACCCCTCTCCTCCCCTTTCTTCCACTATCCCCAGTTTCTCTGCTATGCTTGATGCTGTATGGTACAGAATATCCCTTTGGCCAATTCAGGTCAGCTGTTCCTGCTGTGTCCACTTCTTGCCCACCTTCAGCCTGTTTACTGGGACAGGTGGGCGTAAGGGGGAAATGAGAAAAAGTTCAGCTACAGTCAAAACATTGGTGTGCTACCAGCACTGCTGGAGCCACAAATCCATACTGCAGCACCATACGTGCTGCAATGAAGAATGTTAACTCCACCCCAGGCAGACCCTGCTCACCAATGTATAGGGTAAAAAAGAATAACCAAAAGCTTTAAACATGCATAGAGAGGACAAGCTGACAAGAAATTCCATGTTTTAAGTGCACACACTGGGCTTGGCACTCTCTCAGGATTTCCTTCCTGAGCCTGCTGCAGCACTGACGTTGTAGTAGCATAATGGGAGCCATTAACTCCTAGAGGTGAGACAGACCAGGCTGGATTGGGTTGATTGGTCTTTCATCTCTGGAAGGGCACTGTCCCAAAAAATACTTCCAATGGAATGTCTGCACTCATAATTCTGGAACCATGTATGTTACCAGAGGTCAATTAACTCCTTATGGCCACAATACCAAATGGGGCAGGACATGACAAGAGATTGAACCTCAAAAGCACAAATATTCCCTAACCTAAGATTGCCCCATATATGCAAAACAATAAAAGGGGTCATTTAAAGAGGCTGAAAAAGATTTTAAAGTTGGAGCATTTCGGTGTGATATGAATGACTTCCCTCTGCAAATTGCTCAGTCATACTCTGGGAAGCTGAAACTGTCACAGAAATTAGGCAAAACAAACAGTAAACTAATTTAGAAAAAATATTTTATTCATAAAATGACTAAACATTGGTTCATGGACAAAATATCTTGGAGCTAGATAACTTAGTCACTGAATACAACATTCAGAATAATTTTGTTCATCCTTTAATACTGAAAACTAAAATAATAACAAAAAATAATATCCAGACTGGGTGCTGGGAGGCCTCAGCTACCTGTCTTTGGATGTGTAAAACCCAGGTGTTCCACACTTTGTAGGGTCAGTTCTTACATTAGGATCATTTAATAAGTAAAGAGAGTGTAAACTTTCCTTGATATTCAGAAATTTTTAAACTCATCTAACAAGAATATTCCCTCTAGAATTAATTTCGCCAAAATATTGCTATTTTCCAAAAAGGTAGAATCTTTTTATTGTAAGAGTTAAAACAGGCCAGCCTACATAAACAGGCTCTCTCCTTCTCCTTTTTTTTTTTTCCCCCCATTTGGATACCTTCTGGTATGTATTTTGAGAACACAAGAATTGTCACACTAGGTCAGATGAACCATTCCAGTACCTGACTGTTTTGCCAAGAGCAGTTGTTTAAGGAAATCTACAGATAAGCGAGGCAGGTATGGAATAAGACACTGGAATGGTCTGGGATATCTGGGATAAGATATTAAAGGATCACCTCCTTCTAACTCAAGAGCAGTCCATCCCAATAAGCAGGAATTGAGGCAAAAATTGCAGGAGACTTCTTTTCTGATCTTTGGCCTACGAACTTGGGCCATCCTGTTTCCCTGCACAAAGGAAGGCAAAACTTGCTGGCAACTAAGAAATAATCCACTCCAAAACCAAAATGGTAACAGCTTCTGTGTCCCATGTAAATATGCTATCACTCCCATGGAAGGCAGCTGAGCATCCACAACAGAGAACAACAGTTTAGAGCAGCTGTATTGACTTTCTACAAGTATCTTTCACCTCCAGCAGTTTCTGCAGAGTCACTCATCACACACTTTTTTGAAGTTGAAGGAATAATTATTCCCAGTAACCAAAACATTGTCAGTTTAAAAAACCTTATATACGGCGTAGGAATACAGAAACTGCCTTCCCTCACAAGCAGAAAGGTAAACCTTAATGTGGAAACAATATAGATGAGAAACATATAAGTTTTACAAAAACTAGAGTTTATGTTTTAAAGTTGGACCTCTAACTTCACCAAAACAGAGAAAATAAAGAACTTACATTAGTATCCATGACATTAAATATTTTAAAATATTTGCTACAGTTGTGAACTTTCCTAAGGACATATACATTGCTACCAAACACTGATAAAGGTGTTTTGGCAACGAAGACATCATAATAGTCATCCCAGCTAGATGTCAGAGGAGTCACAGGTAACTCACTCTTAGAATGACATCTAAGAATGTACTGGATGCAAAAGTGAACTCTGTCTTTGGTTTTGAAACGCATTCAGATATGAAGAATACACACCACACACCATGTTCTTTTGGATTGCCAGTGGATTTTTTCTAGAAGTCACACCATTGGAAGTTATCTGTACATATTTCTGCTGAAAATAAATTTGACAATAGTTTTCAACTGTATATGCATTCTTCACATCTTCAAAAAGGCAACCTACAAAAGGAAGCAGAAACAATATTCTGATTAGTCTTTACAGTGCAGGTAAAACAAAGATGTTTCTTTGTATCAACAGAAATTATATACTATAATAATATTTTTACCTAATAACACACTAATGCAATAAGAAAACAGAGGCTATATTTGAGAGCAGTGTTACTTTCCCATGTCTTTTCTACCTCGTAGGTCTCCTAAAAATTCTCAAGCTTTCTTTTTGCTTAAGCACTGCAAGGGTTGCTGAACTACGTATCAAATCTTTTTTTTTCCCCAGAATAAAAAAGCACAAGGTAGTCATCTCATCTAACTTAAAAGGCTATTTAATGGTATTTTGAAACTAGTTAGATTAAATCTTTGATACATTCCCTGGTCTGTCTGAATACTGTTTGAACAGTGCCGTCACTATAAGTCAAATCCTGATTCCAGAGTCACAATGAAAAGTCCAAAGTCATAAAGAAAAAATGCCTTACATTTTAAAATGACCAGGAACCAAAATCCTACCCTAGGAGAGAAGACAAATACTTCTATACGATCAGAAGAGAGCAAATGAGGTACCTTTTCTCTTTAGTGGACTAAGTCAACTGTGTAACAGCTATTTAGAGGGAAGGTGATCTATCAAATACAAGAGACCTACAGGATTTCTGCTGTCCCAACTCATTCATTCTTTGTCACATCCATGCAGCAGTTTCTCCTGTATGGTTTTGGTTTTGGTTTAGCTTTCTTCAGGACCTGCATGATACTAACGCAGAAATTAAGCTAGCTGACTGGAAACACAATCACACATCCAGATTCTTATCTGCCAAGGAGATTGCTTCACATATTTTTTGCTGATCACAAAGACAGAAAAACGGATGGACAGGTTCCATCACAGAAGGGCACAAAAGAAAAGAAAGAAAGAAAAAAAATTCTACCAGGTTATACAACCATCTTCTGAAAATATATAACCTGTTTCTCCTACCCCATGAAAAACAGACCAAAAAAAAAATATGTGAGATAAACACTTCCCCTTTGTTCTCTCCAAGACCTTTCAACAGTCACTTAAGTGAAGATTCAAATTACTATCAATTACCACTTTGGATTTTCACAGCTGACCCTCAATCACCACTCTACTCAACACTGTGATTAAAGAATGCATGAAACATGATCAAGCAGAAGGAATTGAATAAAAGCATAAAATATCACTGAGTGGAGTGTTCAGAACAAAGGGCAAAACAGAGTTAAAACATTCATTTTGAATCCTATGCCCAAAGTATGTTTCAGAGAGTGAAAAAAAATAAAGCATTTTTAACATATCTAAGAGGCTTCTCAGAGAATCAGTCGTAAAAAGGCCCATGTCTAAATAACATGTCCACAAGGCATAAATGGGACAGGAAAATAACAATTCTTGGTTAAGAACAGAAAAAAAACCCATGCAATCTCAATTCCTGAACACTCTTTTGCTACTCCAACACTAACAGCAATAACCTATTAGAAAGCTGCGATGCTACTACATGGAAGGCTTTGTACAGATAACAAAACTGAGATCCCTTAAAGCTTCCCCATTTCCAAATAATTCTTTTCTTCTTCCAAAATTCACTTGCATTTTCATGTCTTAGATTAAATATAAGGAAGAAATTCTTTATTGTGAGAGTGGTGAGACACCAGCACAGGTTGCCCAGAGAAGCTGTGGATGCTCCATCTCTGGAAGTGTTCAGGAGCAGGTTGGATAGGGCTTTGAGCAACCTGATCTAGTGGAAGGTGTCTCTGCCCATGTCAGGGGAGTTGGAACGATTTGATCTTTAAGGTCCCTTCCAACCCAAACCATTCTTATGATTCATGTGGAATACACATTTTCAGAAACGTCTCTAGGCAACGCTGGCCAGCAAACAGCTGGCTGGCCAGGGTGAAAGTCTGCCTGCTTTCCCATGAAAATCTCATCTCACTGACATATTCCCACTGAGTGTTTTCATTCAGCTCCATCAGGATTTCCCAACAGTAAGCTGCAACATCAAAAACATTTCTGTCAGCTCAGCTAAGGGGTGTCGTAAAAGCTAGGGACTACTCATCATGTAGGGAAATTTACCCACCATGCTAAAGACCCACACCATCAAAGACATAAAATGAAAATCAATATGCTTGCCACCTTTCTTATGATTTAGTTGCTCAGATGAATAGAGGCAGATTCATAATTAATAGCAAATGTAAAATTTTACCTATGTGGAAGAATCATACTCGCTAGGGATGAAATCCTGGCACCAATTAAGTAAAAAACTAAACTTACATTGACTTTAACAAGGTATGAGATTTGTCCTTGCACTGCAAGGAAGAAAAAGAAAGACCAAGATAAACAATAACCATTTCAATACACAATATTCAAAATTTTAAACAGATTTTCTACCTGAAGTTGCAGACACCTTTGCTACACAGCTTTGAGGTACCATTACAGTGAATATATTTGTTTAACTTGACTACTTGCTATATTTTATAATGCATTAAACACACTTCTCTCCTTTGAGAGGATTATTTGCAACATAATGTTTCCCTAGACTGCCAGGTTCTCTTACTGCCCAATAAATTGAAAAATAACAAAAAGAATCATTTATTACTGTCTGTATTTATATTTACTACTGATGTGAATGAAAAGAGCACATTAGATCACTTCTTCAGTTGACATAGCCAACAACAAAGAAAAGATAATACGTGGAAATCATATGCTGCTTAACAAACCTCTGCAACTCATGAAAATATTTGAGACCAAAATCAACTGAAATCAAACCACTTTCACCTAACCAAAAGTTCAATATGAAGCATATAAAATATTTCTTTATTATACTGTTACTGTACATGCAGTTGCATCTCTGAACAGCAATAAACTGTATCTTCTTCTACATAATAAATCAATAGGTTGGGAAAGTGGGACTAAGTGGTTTTCCCCCAGTTCTCCATCTTTCAGGATACTTTCAGTGCAAGACAGACAACTACTGACCTCTTCCAGCTCTAGTAGCAATGATTTCAGCAAAGTCTGCAAATCCAGTATTTCACTGCTACTAGTGCACTTTGAAAGAAAAATAATGTGCCAAACAGTTATCTCATCTACAAACTAAGGTTTATCAATAAATTCAGAAACAAAGTCAGTTCTCTAATCAGTTTTTTTATTGACCTTACCTTAGCACACTCTCCCCTTCTTCAAACATTCAGGGTAGCTAGTATTAATCCACTGTTAAGAATGATTTATGCACTCTACGATCCATACTTCTATGATAGGAGATATTGTTTTTTCATTTCCTCTCAATTATTTCTGAAGATTTTAATCTTACTTTATCACAGATCATCAAGTGCATCTCAGCCCTCTACCCCATTAGTTTTCCACAGAGCCAGAAGCCGCTAAGACCTCTGGATAATGAACAAACATAAACTCCACATTTTCAAGTAGTTTTAGAGATAACAATACAGAGGGAGCACCAGAGCACCAGACATATGAATGATATATCTTACAAAATCATTTCTTCAGTAAACAATAAAGCAGCACCAACTTTGTTAAAATCTCAGAGTCAGGACAAGTTAAAAAATCCATGTTGTGATGTTCAGTTTTAGAAGCTGTGCTCTCTTAGCTTTTCCAGGAAAATCATGGAATCACAGAATGGCTAGGGTTGGAAGATACCTTAAAGATTATCTAGCTCTGATCCCTCGCTGTCATGGGCAGGGAACCTTCTACTAGACCAAGTTGCTCAAAGCCCCATTCAGCCTGATCTTAAACACTTACTTCCAGGGATGAGGCTTCCACAGCTTCTCTGGGCAGTGAATGGGTAAGTGCAAAATGTCTAACTGTTAAGCATACCCCAGAGTACATCAGGGTACATAGGAATGGTACTGAGGATTGAGAAAAGCATCCTGACAGAGAGAGTACTTAAGTAATCAAACTTCTCAACAGGTTGTCCAGATGAGTTGTGCAATCTTCATCTGTCTTTTGCATATTTCAAACTCAAGTGCAAACAGCCTGGGGCATCCGGCTCTGGCTGACTCTGCCTGTGCAGTGTGGCTGGATGGGGCAGTCTCCAGAGTTGTCCTCCACCCTCAGCCATTCTGAGACTGTGACATTTTTGTATTTATACACAAATGTATAAGTGAAAGAGATAAATGAAACAACAGTGCTGTGCTGGTGAAAACTCTTTTAATATAAGCTACAAAACCAGAAGCTGGCAATAGTCTTTCCTCAATAGGAAGAAGGTAGCCATGGGGTTATAGGTTTCTGTCTTTGTGAAACCTTCTAATAATGCTTTATTTCATCAAGTGTTGATTTAGACATAAGGAAACACTTTTTTTGGTGAAGGTGGTGAGACATTGGCACAGGTTGCTGAGAGATGGAATGTCCCATCACTGGAAGTGTTCAAGTCAAGTTGGATGGGGCTTTGGGCAACCTGGTCTAGTGAAATATGTCCAAACACAGAGGAGTAAAAGGTGAAAGAAAACAGTTGTAATTTCAGAAAATATTTTAAAAACTGCAGAGACCTAATGAACTCAGGAGATAAAAGAAGGTGGTTCCACATGGCAGAAGTTGGTGAAAAGAAATCTCTTCTACCCAAGTGGTAACACTGGGTGAGCAGGCAGAGCAGATGACTGCTGTAAGAGAAGCAGGAACGTGACAGGAGGTAAAACAATGTACTTTAAAGAAATGCAATCTGCAAATTCAGTGTGTGCCATGTCTTGTGGATCTGATGGCACAGGAAACACAGCACTAGTAGAAAATTTTCTCAGCTAAGCAAAGTAGTTCAATCATTGAATCAGCTGCAAGAACCAGAAAAGAAGCCAGATTCTTACTTCCACAAAACAGGAAATAACTCATACGCCAAAAGTTGCATTTCCATATTATAACACAAGCTTTTAAAGTGTTCTTAAGTTTTTATTCTCTTTAAAGGAGACCAAGTGAATGGTGCATAAAAATCCCTGTGTGTGTCTCTTGAAGATAATGCATGTCTCTCCTAAGAGCTAAACAAAAGTATGTAGAAGGGAGAGAATTTCTCTTCAGTTTCAGAGAGGGAATTGTACTTCTGTTTACTCCTGGAATAACTATAAAGGAAAATAGTGGGTTGAAAGTAGTTATGTATGCTTTGGTTTCAGCAGAAGAAAATGAACCTATTAAATCTATGAATGCTTCCTGAAATATGACTGCTCTGGTTTCTCTTTTTTATTGCACACCAAAGAATAAAACTCCACCACCAGGCTCAAAACTGAAGTTTAAATGTATAAAAGACATTCTACTGTTGTCTTTGAACATAAGATTAATTTTTAAACACTACCACACACAGTTCATAAAGCTACACTGTGTTTTAGAAGAACACAACTTACATGGCTGTCTCAAATCACATCTACTGCAACACACAATCTGTACATAAACAGATATCCGTGCTTTAATCTGGCACATGTGCTAGTGTGAAATCAGGAGTGATGGAATGACTGCAGAGGAAATGTTGATTACGCATCAATACGGCTACAGCCTACAATCAACATCAAATGCTGTATCTATTTCCATTCAAGGCTGACAGTAACCAAGCAATGCCATGCCATCCATGTGCATAGGAAGAGAATAACCTGCCCAAAAAGGCACAGACAGCTGTAAGCAGACCTCTGCTCCTAGATCCAGTTGTGCTGGATGACATTACTCTCACAGGCCCATGGTGTCCCTGTGCTACAAGTTACCATTCCTCTCTCCCCACAAAACACCATTTCAAGCTTTCTGCCTAGTGTCTAGTGAAATCAGACTGATACACTAAACTCTGGTCTGCACAAACTGAATTGATTTACCCTGGAAACAAGAAAGGGAGGGCTTGCATTAACAATTCCGCTGGTAGATAACAGGGGAGAGACTAATCTCTGGTTGAAAAGAGAGTGAAAAGCTGAGAATAGTGGTTTTTTCCACATATATAGCTGGATTTGGAAGATAACATATACTCAAAGACTCAGACCAGTCTAATTCACATACAGATTTGTATAGCCACAAAAGCTATGGCTACTGCTAAGTGTTATGGTTTAAGCCTTAATAATTATAGCTAGTACAACTGCTTAGGTCATTGCAAATTATAGTGCAATCAAGATACCCTGTACATAGAATACTTTGAAAAA